CAACCTAATCCCAACGTTACAGCATCATGTACTGATAGACACATTTAATCCGAGTTAAAGGTCAGTTCAGCACGCTCAATAATAGGCGGGGGCTTGACGACAGTCTTCTTGCGGAGGATGTGTCGCTTGAAGAAGTATGGTAGCCAGACCCGTGTCTCGTAAGAGATGAACTGCTTGGTAGGGACAGAAAAGACCTCTGTTATATCATTAGTAGCTGCTTGGTGGAGGTAGGCTCAGGTAACTTACGGTCAAGTTCTTCGAGGGTGAGTTGCTTGGTCTCGCGGACGAAACAAAAGATCATGCCCCAGGCAATCAGATTCAGTCCTGCGTAGAAACCAACTGCAAAATATTAGTCAATATCCAATGAAACGAGAGATTGAGGCAACGTACAAGCTCCAGTGGGAGTCATGGCATTGGTCATTCGGGGGAATGTAAGACCAAGGACACCAGCTGTTGACGTGTTAGCGAAGGTCAATCGATGAGGTTCTGGAGACTTACCAAAGGTGTTGTTGATGCAGACAGCCCAGGCCATACCCTGCTCACGCTGGATGGTGGGGAATACTTCGGCAGAGTATTGGAAAGCAACAGGACCTTCTCCCAGGGAGTAGGCGATGGTGAAAAGGTACACGAAGCTGACAGGTTAGTAGGTGGACCTTCGATGAACAGGTTCAGAAACTTACAGAACGACGGGTCCGATCTGGGCGCCACGACTACCGCTGTGATTGAGGAGAGATAGACCCGCAGCCAACAAGAAAATACACATGAAGGGGAAGGTCTAGATCATGTTAGAAAGTGTGGTGCAAAATGAAGCTTGTTCACTTACGATAAGACAAAGAGTTCGTCGTCCCTTGGTGTCAATGAGGAACAATGTAGGGATGGTAGCAATGACCTGAATAGCACCATATCCAAGAGAAGCATACAAGGCTTGGACAGCTGTGTAGCCAGCGTTTCGGAAGATGGTAGAACTGTAGAACGAAATGACTGACACTGTTAGCGATTGAACCATCACAAGGAAACGGTGACTTACTGTTGATACCGCACATCTGCTGCGCAATCATGACAGTAGAAGCACCATAGTTCGCGCGCCTAATGCGGGGCACAGCAAAGCAATCCCACAGACGCTGGAAATAACCCGCACCCCTCGCAACAGTCAACTCCTCCTCGTAGATAATCCACGAGTAGTAAAAGTCCCTAGCAGCAATGATATCATGCGCTCTCAGCCTCTGCATCGATCTAAACCCCTTGGCATGCTTCCCATGCTTCATCAACCAACGCGGCGACTCGGGGCAGAAAAAGATACCAATACCCAGAAGGAACGAAGGGATGAAGGCGGAGCCGAGCTGCAGGCGCCAGGAGATTCTGCCGGTGTCCTTGACGATGACGTTGGCGCAGAAGCCGAGGAAGATGCCGACGACGACCCAGAGCTGCCAGAACATGACGAGGGCACCGCGGACGCGGGCGGGCGCCATCTCGGCGGAGTAAATGGGGACGGTGGCATTTTTGGCGCCGATGCCGATGCCCATTACGAAGCGCACGGCGAAGAGTTCTTGCCAGGAGTGGGTGAAGCCGGAGGCGATGGGGGTTGCGGTGAGACAGCATGCCGTGATGAAGATTTCACCGCGACGACCGAAGTAGTGGTTCAGCGGATCAACGATGAAAGCGCCACTGTACTCATTAGCATTGCCAACCAAACTGAAGCGTATTGAATTGTAGTCAGTGAACTTACATCAAACCAGCAGTCAAAAAGATAATCGAATTGACCAGTCCAACAATCCACTGGTCACGAACACTATTCTCCTCATCAAGCCCAAATTCCTGGGGAAACGACAAATTGGCACCGTTGGAACCAGTCTGATCCCAACCCTGAGTCGCAGCGCCAATGGCACACAGAGAGATGGAGTACCAGAGCATCTTTGGTCCGTGCCATTTATGATCGCGCTCGTACTCGAGGGCTTGACGCTCATCTTCCTTGAGCTCCTTGACCATGTTGAACTGCTCTTGGTCACGGGCTACGAGGGCGGCGCGGGAGAAGAGCTCTGCGTGTTCGGAGAGGCCGTGTGTTTCGGCAAAGACACGCGCATCGTGGGCTGCTTGTTCAGGTGTGACGCGCTGCAAGCTCGAATGTCAGCAATTGAAGATAAATTGTATGCGCCAATTGAAGTGATGGGTGAGTATCACATCAATTGTTGTTGTGGTCATCATCGCCGAGCTTCTTGGCAGAAGGCTAGGCGATGAGCCAAGAGATCGCCAAGCGTACCTTGAGTGGATTCTCAACAATGTTCACGGCAGTCGAGCCACGACGACCTGTAGCACTGGGCGGTACATTGCCGAGACCATTCTTCTCATTGTGAGACGCCTCTGGGACATCAGGGCCCAGTTCCTTGTTATCCATTGTGAGAAATGAGTCTTGATGGTGAAGATGGAAGAAAAGTGTGAAGGACTGAAGAGCCAAGAAAAGAAAAAGACAGAGGCCAAGGGTAAGGTTAAATAACTTGGCAATTGAGAATGCGGGTGAGACCTGGGGCGGATGAGTTTGGATAAGGATCATCGCTCATCCCCGGTTCATCCCCATCTTGTGAGCCAGTCTAAGGATGAGGATGGGGGAAGGGAGATGGTGGGCGGGCGTTTAAGCGTATCCACCACATGCAACCTTTGGATATATCTGACCACCAGAATTTGGAGAGGGACTTGGGAAATTGTGGAAACGTTAAGGTTATTGTCTCGGAATGAACCAGGGGCTCTCTCTTTATTGTCTTGGTCTGGGGTTGCACTGAATGCTCCGATGTTGAACACGGCAGTTGGCAGGGTAACTTTCCATTCCAACGGCTGATTCCATCCTTTACAGTACAGTGCCTCATAATCACAATTGATATCAACATTGAAGAACGACTGTCAATGTCTTGGGAGTCTCTGGCATCAGACCAGTATCAACGGCAACGATCTCAACTCACCTCCTCTTTTTCCCCATGGAGATCCCTCCCAAAAATTGGAGAAGCTCTCTCCGCTACAACGAATCATCTCGACGTTCTCCACGCGCTAGCAAAAAGCCGCTGAGCACCCTGAAATTTGGGGTCTGGGGGATTTCGCGGGCAGACAAACACGATACGTACAGATTAATTCGGCTGCCTAAACGTCATCGGATAAGCGGCACATATGACGTAGTGGAGACACTTGCCAAGGCATCCATATTCTTGCCCTTCCAAGTGGAGATATCCTCCAGGCATCCAAATAAAAAATACAGAACTCCGTGCTAGCGCTCACATTTTGAACATTTTACTTCTTTATGGTCTGAGAATGACTTTAGTAAATTTACAGAGAAAATATCCCTCAAATCTAGAAGCTCGTGGTATGAAAAGTTTAATCTATTTGCCGTTGGGAAAAAACTTGGTGTTGGTTGCAATATGTGCAGTGTAACATCACCGAGACATCGCGCTAAACTGTAATCAAAGAGGATAAGACCATCGACGCTCGTTTTTGCCGTTTTTAGAGCGTTGGTGCGACGGTGCAATAAGAGTGCCTAAACGGAACGATCGGACTTGTTTGGGTCTTGGCTTTGTGCAAGTTTCGTTTCTTCGGGACCGATATTGGTGAGAGAGCGTTGGGTTGAGATGGCGGGGTTTTTTAGACTGATTCTATTGTTTGTTTGTTGAAATGCGGAGATGGAATGAATAACGCGTGATGATCTTGATCAACACATTTCGATTGATTAGTGCTGAATAACGGGCGTTGATCACGTCTGTCATCTGACATTCTCTGTGTTGGTCACTTCATTGGACAAACACTCGCTCCATCGTTGCTCCACGATCATCACCCCCGGATTGTCGCTGATCTATGACCCCCAGATTATCAACACGATACTCTCAGACATTCGCGATCTTCACCAGGATAGCAATACCACATATACTATTGTAATACTCGATCTTGCATTGTCTCGTGTCAAAAGATCAGGCAGCCGAGTCGTATCAGACCCTTTGCACGGCAACCTTAAATTAAGCTTATGGGTATAAAGTGGCTGCACCCTCCAGCCGCACTCTTCTATATAACAATCACCTAACGCTTTTGCAGTGACTTATTGGAGCAATAGCTGAGGGCGTCGTCAAAGAAACGACGTCACCGGGAATACTGCCACTTTTACGCCCGCCTTTCATTGCTGCTGGATCTGTCGCGATGCTTGGCAGATAACCAACCCCACTATGTCATATCCTCGCAATTATTCCCGCTTACATCCTCGTGAGCAAAATTCAGATTCGACATGAGGGGAACCTGGGGTAATCTCGTGAGCACTAGACCTCATTGACATGAGTGTGAAGTGCAGTTTCTATCTGAGAGATATTCACGTGTCTGGCCTCACAGCTTCGGCATTCTACAGCGGATTAGACTCGTCAATAGGGTACGTAACCGAAAAATAACCTCATTATTGCATGATAAACAGAGGATAAGGAAGACTTTCATGGCGGAAGCGGTAAATTGATTGGTGATTTAAACTGTCTTGCTTCCATACAACTCTTTTTATTAACTTATCTTTGTCGGTCTGAGGCCTGATACTGATAATCTAACTGGTATCTGAGCGCAATTTGGAGGAAGGGCTTCAACCGTGCGCAAGATCTAAACAGCACTGAGATTTTGCACTCAAGGGTAAGAGAAGGAGATACGTAGTCGACCAAACGTATCGATAAGTATGAAATTTGTGATTCGACAACCAATCACCATGTCGTGTGCGATTGTATCACAGCTCAGATGAATACTTCTGCCAGAGCAGTGGAGAACATAAACGCTTCTTAACGTTCACACTGCTTATAGAGCATAGGCATGAACTGAAGTTAAGGGCTTACATGGAAGGAACTTTATTATCTTTATACAAAACAAGATTGCACTAGTCAAGATCAAGCCGTGCATCTTATGGAAATGAAGCTGTAGGATTGCTTACTCAGATGCCCAGATATCGGAAACTTATGTGACTCTGCAAGACCGTAAGCGGATACATCGCAGACACATTGGATATGGGTATATCAGAAGCTTCACTGCTTGTGGAGAATGTACTTGGATCTCTTGACCATAGAAGCATAATCACCCTAGAACCCGTTACTACTGCCATCAGCCACAACATGAATGCCCCAGAGTCCGACCGAGCCTTCTCACCCAAGCAGGCCTTGAAGCCTACACCAGAGCTCTACGGTGAGATCGTCGGTGATGGCATGAAACGTCTTGCTGTTGCGTCTCTGTCCTGCACTGAGACCTTCGACCACTCCGAAGTCATCTTTCACGATGTCGGTTGCGGCCTCGGAGCCGGTACTGGAGCCATCATGAGTCTGAGACAAGACGATGTTGCCATCAAAGGCACCGACATCAACGAGGACGTCTTGGAAATATATCAACAAAACATAACTGCACATAAATGGCCCGCCGAGGCTCTCAAGATGGACGCGTCGAGGCTCGATTTCCCCGACGAGACGTTCACCCACTGCATTGGCAATGCGCTGCTGTTCGTTCTGGAAAATGACGGCGTAGACGCGATCAAAGAGATGCACCGCACCTTGAAACCTGGTGGTGTTGCCATTCTCAACTCTTGGGCTCACACGCCAACTATTCCTGCGATTCATGCAGCAGCGAAAAAGACTCGACCGGATGGTACGCCTCTACCACGAGAAGGGCTAGATAAATGGGAAGACAAAGACCAGTTGCGGGATGTCATCATCAAAGGAGGGTTTGAACCGGGGAAAGTGAAATTCACCAAGAAGGATGTTCATGTTACTGTCGGCGATCTTAGGCGTTTTGCGACAATGATATGGAGTTTTATTGGAGGTACTTCCAAGGCGGGATGGCTTGAGTCGGATGGGGAGAACTGGGATACGGCTGTTGATGCAGTCATGGAAGCGCTCAGTCAGACGGAAGGGTATGAGAAGCTTGGGGATGGGAAGAATAAGATCATGTTCAAGGCTCATATTGCCGTTGCTACCAAGTAGATCATAGGAAGCCAGGACTTCACTGCTGGAGCAAATACGGTCGTCTGACTGGATACGAAATAACAGCAACTATGGACATAAATCAATTACTTGCAGAGACAGTCGTTTGAATTATTTCTTTTATGTCATATATCATCAGCTAATTCTCCCTATTCGCAAAAGCGCCCGTATCTCTTCTGATCTCCTCCTTTCCCTGTGTTCCTCCCCGACCACCAGGTTTTCCAGTTACAGACTGTGGAATATCATGACCAGTCGCACTGATCCCCTCACCAACGCCAGATTCTCGACCTTCGGAAGCTGAAAGGACTGCGTTGTCTGCTGCACCAGCCAGATCGGATGAGCCAAGACCGCCGGCAGCCTCGCCATCGCGCTGGTGAGGGTTAGGAACGGACTTGATGGTGTTTTGTTTGCCGGCATCACCGGGAACTGATGTCCATGTCAGCGTATGAGTACAGTCTATCTGAGGAAAGCGACTGACTAGATGTCCCGTCTTTGGCCATGTCGAAGAGATCTCCGCCTTGCTTGGAATCAGACATGTTGTAACTTGGTAGCGTTGCAGTTGAATATAGTTTTATTGATGTTTGATAATGAGTAGTAATTGAAATAGGAATGAGCTTAGATAAAATATAGGAAAAAGAAATGGTATTTATGGTAGTGATGCTATCAAGGTCCTTTCATGATGTCATGATCTCATTCTCAGCACATCCATCAATCGCATCGTCGTGACGTCAAAAGCCCGAATCACTGACGCGTCGATATTATAGAGTTAGCGTATTCAATGCTGCAAAATTTCATTTCGAAAATGTGATCTAAACAGATGGAAGATCGACCAAGACCCTATGTCGCTTGCATCGTCAGGCCTTCCATTCCATTGTCATGTGACCAAAACCAGCTCTCATTCTAAGCGTTAACCCTTACGCGCCCGATCGAGCAAGAAGCTTCTCAAGCTCGTCCTTCCAAAGATCAGCCATGATGTAGCTATCGTGTCCAGTGGTCTCATTGCTTGCAAGAATGATGACTGCGCGGCCATATCCAGGTGTCATGTCGTTCGCGACACCATCCTCCAAGAACCCGAGTTCGATGGGGTTCAGCAAGTCATCGGCAGTATTGACAGCAGTCAAAGGGACCCTGATATTCTTGAGACCTGCTTTGGGATTGTAGGTCTGAGATGCGTTCCAAGCATAGAGTTGATCATTGGCATCGAAATCTTCAAGGCGAGGGATGATGTGCTCGTCGACGTATTTATCGACGGCTTCACGAGTCGGGAATGCTCGCTGCCAGTATGAAGGTGATGAAAGAAGCACAAGCTGAATCATCAGCGCACCACCAAGACCAGCAGCTGGTTGCTTTTCATAATCGCCGCCTTTCCATGCTGGATCAATGGTGATAAGCTCAGTGATGAACTTACGAAACAGACGATTATGTCCAGCTATCTCAACCGGAGAAGAAGAAATAGGCATCAAGGCATCCGAAAAGCCAGGATATTCTGCACCCATCATCCATGTGTGCATACCGCCCATGGAGACACCAAGCGATAGACGAGTCCGATTAAGTTTGAAGTGCTCAGTAAGGCGAAGGTGGTCTGCTCGGATCATGTCGGGATACTGATACTTCGGAAAGGAGGCACGAAGCCCTGGTCTTGCTTGAGTTGCCGTGACCGATGGCATCGCGCATTATGATGAAGTACTGATTGGCGTCGAGAGGCTGGCCTGGGTTGAAAAGGGCACCAGCGAACTCTTCCACGAGGAATTGGGCGCTGGAACCAGTAGTGCCATGGAGGAGAACAACTGCGTTGTTGGTTCCATCGGGATTGACTTTGAGCTCGCCGAGGGTCTGATAGCTGACGTTGAGGGAGTCAATCATCTCCCCAGAGTCGAAGGTAAAGGTCTCAATATTGAAGAAACCGCTCATTGGCTTTGGCCACGATGCCTTGGCATGTATGAAGGGTAACAATAGTCCCAGACAGAGAATTGCTTTGGTCCAGGGCTTCATGATTGCTTGCGAGACAAGATGTAGGGATGTGATTTAAATCTGTCAGAATTGGATATTTGAGTGTTTCTGTATCGAGATGAGGTTGAAAGAACCGTTTGAAACAGAAGACTTGTATAGAGCTTATATATTCAAGGTTACGTCTCTCATATCTCAGAAGAAGAAATTGACAGTCATCCCGTGTACGATCGTGATCTGGGCTCAAGCGAAACCGAGCCTTGGCAACATAATGTCCGATTGAGCGCAAACGCATTAAATGATATCGAAGATGGCCACCTACGATTCCCAGACGACATAAAGAGAGGTCCATCTCAATTGGTAGAAGTTAGAAAACCCTTGAATCGTCGCATATGAATAGAGCCGCAAAAAGATCGACTGACCCGAATGCGAACCCGCAATGCGCGAAATGCACTAGAACCTCTGTTAAACCACGGGTTTCTATCCGCTGCCAAGTCCGTAGGACTGGGACTGGGACTCGAATGCGAAGTCCGTAGGTAATCAGGGTGGCTGAGTAGGCTGACGTCATGAGATCATGTGCTGTAAGCACTGACAGATCCGCCGCTGCCACGACTCAATGTAGAGTTCGGGTTTCATTTCACTTTTCTTTTGGCTTGCTTGACTTTGCGTGGCGCGCTTAAGTTGCTTAACGGGCCGTTCACCTGATTATTATGAACAATTAGGCCCATACCATAAAGTAGCAGTGGCTTCTTTGTCATCTTGACTAGATCTTTCACCCATCGGCAGTACAGCTGAAGGAAGGGTTTACATACACGGCATCATAACAATCATGATATAAAACAATTACTCATACTTCTGCGGTCATACAGATAGCACTCATTATATCATATTCTCTTCATCGATTTCGACAATTCCGCAAATATACAGGCAAACTGCAACAGCTACAGCATAGCCTCTAATTCTCTAGTTGTACTTCGCATTCACTGTACCAAAAGATTCCCCGTCAATCTCCATCGAAAACTTCATGACTGCAGACTCCAATGACACCACTAAATCATAGTCGAGCTGCCAGCTGAGTTGGCGGGTTAGCATCATCGAGTAAATATTGTGTCAAGACAAGCACTCACAACGGCAGTCCCTTCGGATCTGGGTAGCACATCGAGTCAGCAATATATCCCACGAGATGTTGTGCTCGACACTCACCAATCTTCTTTTCAAACTTCGACTTCGGTACAGTTGACATGTCGGACTTCAAGATACAGTTCCTGCTGAACATACCACTAGTTAAAGGATGCCGAGGTGCTGTTCTGGTTAAGTAATTAGAAAGTCGACCTTTTTAATGTGGAGAGCAAGTCATACTAACCTCTCCCCGCATTCGAAAAGAGTGTTGTGTAAAATGAGCCATGAGGGGTCGTCTATACTGTTCAAGTCTGAGCAAAATGAAAACTTGATTGTTTGGTCCCGGACAAGATTATCACCAATGTTGATGTACCATGTCATCTGATCTTGTTAGTTCCAAAACAAAGTCACGATGTTGAAACTTCTTACACATTGTGACCTTGTAGTACCGTCACGCCATATCATAGTTGGCTGACCAGCATCGAGAACAGGATCATGCACATGCCACGATCGCACTCCGTAGTGGCGTGTTGCGGAGGTACTCGTCACAATTGCCTCACCTGGCAATCTGGAGAGGGCTGCACCTCTACAGAAAAAGAGAGGTCAGTAAAGCTGATTCTCACGATTTCGAACCAGACCTACTTTGCAATAGCTGCCCAGGCATCAGGTGGCTGCAGAATGTCAATGTTTGGTTGATCTTTTCGCACCCTTTCTATCAAGTACTGATTACTTCCAAAACCGCCGACAAGAAAAATGCCCTAGATTGATTAGTAAAAAAAAGTTTACTTGAAGTACCACTGCGAACCTTGATACCATCATCCATTCGTTTCAATCGTATCCTTTGGACCTGATCATTGATAAGTCTAATGATGTCATTGATAAGGGGGTCAAAGATTCGCTTGAGCTCGACTCTAGCATGTGAGAACTTGTTAATTCTGAAATATCGACAATGAAACGCAGGAATAGCATACCCAGTCAGTCTCCAGGTACTCGCTTCGAGACCACAGTCCAGATCATCTTCCAATTTAGCGGTTGGGAAGTTAACGAAGTACTCTTCTTCAACCCCCCCTCGAAAAGACCTTTTGATCTCCCGATCAAACTGTTTACTGGCTAGATGGAAAGCTCTGCTTTTCTTCAGTTGAAGCCATTGATCTTCCCCTACCAAATTCTCGACCTCGCTGGAAAATAATTTGTTTAGCCCCAGGGACCCGGCCATGCCACCTAGATAATCTCTTAGTATGGCGCACGGAAGTACAAATCGTCCAGTCCGTTGAGTAACTCACCCGTTCCTGGAACGATCTCTTTGACCTCAAGCCTGGGAAGCGCTGCTTCGACTTGATATGAGATCAAATCCACGGTGCCTCCACCAGCATCACAAACGACGAAACAATCATTTTTGTTCAATCTACGATCCATCTTCTTGGCAGTCCATAAGGCAGCAGCTTCTGGCTCCTTTATCAAGTGAACAGGACTCAACCCTGCCATTTCAGCTGCCTAAATAACCGAATATGTAAGCCAAGCTGTGAAGCTCTAGATATTAAGATAGGACAGTCATACCTTTAGTGTAGCATCCTTCGCAGCGTCAGACCATACAGCTGGAACTTTTTGAGTTGTTAGAGGTAGGGGCATTTACTTCAGGTCGGTGGCCTCTTACCTGATAGGACATACTCTTTATGGCAGAGAGCCACGTAGTCCTTTGAGAACTTATTCGAGATCTCAGAAATTGCGTGGCCATAGATGGCGCCAATAAAGTCGGCAGCGACTTCAACAGGCGGTTTTGGCAGTGCGCTGATGTCTTTCTTCACATTTCTCACGGGAAGATAGATAGGTATATCTTGCTTCGCATCGAGTAGAAGTTTAACTCCGACTATACCGTCGCTCTGGTTATTAAGCGCTGCACCCCAAGTGAACGAATCTGGATTCTTCTTGTCATATTTGATTAACGTTGGAATTTTAGGTGCATCAGGACTCTCCGCCCCTGAAATCCAATATTCGTCAGTCAACCATGATTTTCAATGAGAGATTCATGTCGACTTACCTGGCCAATTCTTGATTGAAATAGGGGTACAATCGCGCTGGTTTGTGAAGCAATATGCTATGCCAGAATATGTTGTCCCAAAGTCCAGAGCAATAATGAGTTTGTCATCTGACGAACTAGTCGGTGGGGTCATCTTTGACAAACGATCCGCTAGATCGTTCAGGTTTTTTGACATGGCGAGCGAAAGTCAGAGTGCGAAGGAAAGAACAGATTATAGAAAAGAGCATACAGGTGATGGGGAACAGGAAAGAAGTTGATTGCGCGTGTGGGAGCCGAAGAAACACTTCCCCATCTGATTTAATCCAACAGAGTACAGTATCAGCTCTACCGGGGCTTTTGGTGCCGCTGCCACCAATTTCATCTTAGCGCCGTCTATTAGGAAGGCGGGGAACTAATTATAGAAACGCTCATGCACTTTATGCATGTTGGTTGAGCAACATCACCAACAGTCACAATCAAGTCTCTATCTGGACCATTAGGGATCCTGCTGTTACCGCTGTCTTTCTAAATTAGCTTCAAAGCCTCCGCACGAGTTTCGGTATTGAACCTCGGCTACCCCAACCACCAGAAAACATAATTTAAAGGGTACTAAAATGACTTCATGTGTCGGTAGTCAAATGCAGAGGTGCTGCCTTTCTTGAAACACTCTTCGACTCATTCATTTCTCATCTTCTCTTCGAACCTTAGCTTGTTTCGTTTGATAACCAAATGCTGAAAGGGTTGATCGATCTGTTTGTCCCCAATTCCGCTATGCCTAGTAGAAAAAGCCAGAGTAAGAATGCTTCGCAAGGAGAAACCATCTCCGAAACGCAGAGCAGGTCGTCATTCGCAAGAGAGGTCCAAACCGAATGCAATCTTTTAGCTGAGCAAATTGCACGATTACCAGCTACAGTTTGGGAACGCTTGTCACAAACTGAAGTGAGTTTATTGAGCAGACAATCGTGTTCCATTAGCGATAAGCGCTGACCGTGCAATTACGATTCAGGAAATCTTATCTGATGGACAAATTCATTCTTATGCGGAGTCTGATTATACTGCTCAACTACAAAAAGCCAATTTCGAGATTCAGCGCAAAGAATCTACTATCCGTCAGTTGAGAGTTGAGCTAGATGCCCATAAACTTGAGATACAGCAACTACGTGCCAAGGAGCAGAGCTTGCGTGACTTGGTGCACGAGAGCGACACCTACCCGGAAGTCAGTGAGCATGAAGTGATCTCTGCCTTTGTCGGACTCCGCCAGAAGGTCCAGAAGTTAGTATCTAGCCGAATGTATCGAATGGAAGGGAAACCGTTATGCACTGAGAGCAAAACTTTCATCATGTCGAAGGACCTATCTAACACATGGAACAATGCCACGCAAGCAAATCGGAAACTCATGTTAAGATCATTTGTCTATCAGCGCTTGGCGGATGAGATCCTTGCCTATGAGTTTTTCGGCATATTGGAGTCAAATTCAGAAGACGATGTGGCGTCTTCCAAAACTGACAATATCTTCACTGGTCTCAGCCACTTTGAGCGTTTCCTGGTAAAGAACGAGGGTAGGTCCCTGTGCCCATGGTAAGAGCAGTCACTAACAACTTTGAGTTTCTAACGATATTGTGACAAAATGGCGGCTATCGACAATGAAAAGCATCGAAGCTATGGGATTGGCAAGAGGCCCATTTGGTAAGGCACTCGCGAGACAAATGTACGATGACTTTGCACCATTCATCGTCGACGAAGCTACCAGAGAAGACAAAGAGAAGTTACTCGAAGGCTTCATGGAGCTCTGTGATAAGGCATACTCTCTTCGATTGTTTATGCGAAAGTCCAAAAGTAACTACCAGTGTCACAATATAAGCCTTGGGAGCCCAGTGGAGGGTATGGATCGTTGGGCAGATGTCTTTGGGGAATTGGAGGGCACACAAAGTGGGAGAAACACGGTTGTTCTTACACTGTTTGGAGTCTTAGTTTCTCAGGCTGGAAATTCCAGGAATGACTTGAGAATCTTAGAGAAGGCGCAAATCATTGTGAGAAGAAGGTAGATCCGCTGGTGCGTGGCAGATACTTTCACTAGTAGTATTATATCTATATTAGAAGATAGTCAATACCATTCTCATCAAAGGGAGGATAACCCACCTGAAGTCTCTGTAAGATATTAATAGTGATAATTAATATTGGTTGATGATTTATAGGCCTGAATTCTTTAACGGCTTAACCATGTTGTGACACGATGAGTATGGAGGAGACGATGACCTTGCGTTAGTGTTTAAGCTAGGCTCATAAAGACAAACCAAACCATTCACAATCACTGTTAAGTACGCGATTCGGTAGTAAGATCTATGACCGAATTATTAGGCTGTGTCAATAAAACTGTGTAGTGTATTGCAGCGGTGGCCCACTATCCCGATTACATGCTGACACCCAAAATGACTCACTTCTCAACATGACTCATCACAGGATACCGCATAAACCACACCCTTTGTGAGAATTGTATCTTCCGCTTGTTTAGATAATCATTTGATTCTTCAATTGAAAATATTATTCGTCACACAACTGTCAAGATGTGCATGTGCGACCATCAACAAGACGCGGAACCAGAGCCATTGCCCGGTAACGCAGAGCCATTCCCGTGGCATATCGGGGTTTTTGACGCTCACAATCACATCGGAGAGAGAGTTAATTCGGTCTCCGACTTGCCAAACATGAAATCCCGCGCTGTATCAATCATGGCAACGCGAACTCAAGACCAATCTCTGATCGCCTCAATCTCCAAATCTCACGGGGTCAAAGGTCCACTCTGTTTCTCAATAGACAAGACAACTGTGATCCCGGGATATGGGAGGCATCCGTGGTTCAGTCATGAACTATTTGATGATTCATTGGAGACTCCGACATACATACCCTCGGAGGATATGGAGGCCGCGAAAGAGCAACACTACAAGGCTGTTCTCTCACCGGCTCACACGGATCCAGCTTTCTGGCGCGATCTCCCAGTACCGATAGCATTGTCTGCTTTCATCGCTGAGACTAGATCACGATTAATCGAAGACCGATACGCTATGGTCGGAGAGATTGGGCTTGATAAACCATTCCGGTTGCCTGTGCAGTGGACGGATCCAAAGCCAGAGCCTGATCCCGATCGGACACCAGGAGGTCGTCAGAGGAGGCCACTCAGTCAACATCGTATCAACATCACTCATCAAAAGGCTGTGTTCATGGCGCATCTCAGACTCGCAGGGGAGCTTGCAAGACCCGTTAGTGTTCATGGGGTGCAAGTCCATGGAATTCTTTACGATACTTTGACAGAGTGCTGGAGGGGACATGAACTTCGCAGTCGGCGTTCGAGGGAAAAAGAGAGGAAAGAGGGAAAAGCTGAACAACAACCGGGAGAAACTTCCAAACCCTACCCTCCACGAATCTGTCTTCACTCATTCAGCGGTAGATCCGACGCTGTCAGGCAATATCTGAAGCCATCTATCCCAGCCAAGATCTTCTTCTCATTCTCAAAGACCAACAACCTGCGGTCGGATGAAGAGAGGAAGAAGGCGGAAGATGCGATAAGGCTAGTGCCGGATAATCGGATACTGGTCGAGAGCGATCTCCATACGGCTGGTGAGAGGATGGACAGTGAGCTTGAGGAAATGTACCGTGTGATATGTGAAGTTAAGAGATGGGGATTGGAAGAAGGGGTTGGGAAGATTGCTGAAAATTATCGGGAGTTCATTTTCGGTTGAGAAGGGGCCATCCACGTCATAGGTCCGTAAATAATGTGCCTGCAGTCTTATCGAAAGTCCGGGGAGGGACAATTGCATGAAAAAAAGTCAATTGGGAATTATGAAAGTTCTAAAGTCCAGCTTGACCTGCAAGTCCCGCCAGGAAAGTCTATGCCATCGAATCCACGACGCACCAGTACCAAAGGAACGAAACAAAAGAATAGACATACGACACAATCCTAATCTCAGTTCTTGACTTCTACCGTCTGGCTCTTCTTCTCCTGGTTCAGATATGTTCCCAAAACTTCAATCAGAAACCTCTCACGGTGCACCAAGTGTCTTGGACCCTGTTTCTTCAAGAATCGCAATGCTGCTGCCGCAATGAGAGGGTGATGTTCTTCTGATAAATCCAGAATGCTAGCAACACTGACTTGCACTCGAAGCTCCTGCGCCTTGACGAATAAGTGGCCAATCTTCTTGTTGGCTACTAATCGCAGAGTAAGCTGTTCAAAGAGGTCGTGCTTCACAAACAACTCCAATACATCCTGCAGCGTGACCTCATCTCCAAAGATCTGATCAAGGTCGACGCCAGCGCCGTCCTGAATTGTTTGTCGCAGTTGAGAAGTCGACTCGAGCGCCTCAACGATGTTATCAGTGGTCAGCGGCGGTATAGCAGATATGCAAGGTCGATCATATCCAACTCTGTGTCGCCACCAAACGTTGCAAAAGATCGAAGTGATAATGACAGGAATGAGGATACAATAACCCCACCACCTCTCAGCCGTGATCATTGAACCAACTCCGCCAAGAACATTCGCGATGCCGTTGAGGATGAAAAACAGCTGAACGTTGAAACATCTCTGCTTCAACAACGGAAGTGATTGTGAACCTTGGAGTTCTTTTTTCGCGATCGAGACGTGAGATTGCATCTTAGAGACAACCATTGAAGCCCAAATCGCACTGATGAGACCGAATAGCGCGATGGGTGCGTTACCGAGATATCCGGACAGGATGTTACTAGCATGCCAAACCTTTCGGTTCGCACCACCAATAGCCATGTATGTACCAATGCTGATCAACATCGCACCGCCTCCCATCAACAAGTCCATCGCCCATCGATTAATAACCTCAATTCGTAATTCCCTCGTCGTAATCTCGATAAAAACATCAAGACCCCTCGACTCCGCTCCAACAGGCAGATTCTCCTTCTCCGTCTCGAGATATTGTTTCTGCTGTCGCAAGAACTTGATGTTTCTCCAAGCCTTTCTTGAGTCGAAGAATGCGCAGATCGAGAGGACGAAGGCAGATGTTCCGCCGATGGCCATGAAGACGATGGCATAGACGGGGACAGGAACGTCGTTCCATACGTTGGCGGCAAAGTCGCCTGCGTTGGCGAGTTCGAGAAAACCGACGGCGGCGAAGAGATTGTTTCGCAGGCGGTTGTCGTCGATGCAAGACCATTGCGAGCGCTTCTTTGCGAGGGTGACTGAGTCGGGGCCTGGGACGGATAGCTCGGTTGGGGGGAGGGCATGAGGCAGGGCTGCCTTTGGAGCAGTATCGTACTGCTTCATCATGATCGGGGCGTCCATCGCGAAAAGTATAGGAAAGACTCTTCTTCCGTTAATTGACTTCGCATAGTGACTTGCGTGGGAACTTACGAATGAAGCTTGAGAAGCTGGTTATAAACAGAGCACGGAAGTATCACATGGAAAGCCAAGACGCGAAAGAAACGAAGAACATATCATTACACCGGTGAGTCACTCGAACTTATCCCTTGGCAGTAGAACAAGAGATATTAAAAGGGAGAAAAAACAAAGAAAGAAAGAAAGTGGCTTCTTAGTTTAGGAGACGTTACGTACGTAGAGTGACAGATGCTCGGGCCCTCCGACCGCTTAGTCGGTGCCGGGCTCCACTTTGAGGGCCGCTGCAGCCGAAGCTTGGGGTATCCACGATTCGATCATCCCGCGAGGCGCAGCAACCCTGTTCACTGTAGGATAGCCCTATAATGACATTCAAAGATGGATCTGATATATAAAAGACATGATATTGACAAAATGCTATCTACTGGACTTGTTAAGATATCGTTGAGAGTAGAAATGGGCGAAGAAACAGAGCATCACATGGAACTCATCACTTGGCACAGTGGAGATCACGGCATCTCCAAGCCGAAGGCCACGCAAGCCTTGGCGAATTTCCTTGACAGCAAGGCACGCAAATCACTCCCGTCTCCAAGGGGAATAGAGCAGCCTCAATTGGTCCACGGATGATACCGTAGGGCCGAACCAACCACTAGACACCAGACTAAATATAGCAAAACCTTAAACGGCGCCACCAATTGAAAAGAAACGTTGCACCCTTCACTAATAAGCATCTTGGCGTTTAGAATACTTCGGCCCTTCGACCACCTTCACAGGCTTTCGACCGGTCTGGACAGGCACACCAGCTGTTAGACTCAGCCCATCGACGTTGGCGCTCTTTTCTAACGCCCAGAGCGCGATGCCGATCCAGTTATCACCCTTGTAGTTGAAAATTCCTTCAGGCACGGGGAACGTTGTCTGCGGTCCTACGTTGGCGACGTATTTTCCGTACTGGAAACCGTTTACGTAAAGGATAGCGCGGTAGGCTCCTGTGCTGGAAGTGTTGTTCTTGAAGGTGAACGATAGAGGAATATCGTGTGTTGAAGAGGGAAGGTCGAGGGGCAGTTTGGCCGTGAAGAATGAAACGCCGGGTTTGGAAAGGCCTTTGAAGGGGGAGCCGGGCTTGAAAGATGTTAGTGGAGGTGATGGGAGATGATAGCCTTGGCGCTCGAAGAAAAAGCCGCCTTCGTTGAGAGGACCACGGAACTTGTCCTTGTAATTCTCCCCGCCGAAATTACCCGTGATTTTCCACTTGGACACCTTTGTCTCCTTTCCAGAGTCTGAAGTAATGTGCCAGTCGAGAATTCCACGGGGTTGCTTTGTCTCATCGGCGCCGGGGACCCAGTTTCCATTGAGCCCCATGTTATCTACGATGACTGTAATCACATGCTTCTTGCCCTTTGAGGTCTTGGGGAGTTTGTAGGTTGATGTGTCGTTGTTGTTGTTGCCTCCGCCTGTGACGGATCCGACGAACTTGTCGTCGAGCCAGACGGAGCTGCCGTAAGCGCGACCACCGAATGTCCAGAGTTTCAACTTTGATTCGGATCCAGATGCTGTGAAGTGGCCTCGGAAGATTAGGGCACCAGCGTTAAAGCCGTAGTCGCCAGAGTAGAGAGAAACAGAGTTGTTGAGAGGCCACTTTGAGTTGAACGTCTTTTTGATATCAGCGGTGCGCCACTTGGCATCGTCGTAGTCCTTCTTCACTTCAGGGAGGCCGTCGACATAGTGCCAATCCAACGACTTGAGGTCAGGGACTTTGACCGAGGGAAGCTTGATGTCTGGGTTGACCAGCCAATTACCAAGTTTGGACTTTGTGAACGTCGTGTCCTTGCCGTTGATGGCCAAGCGAGAAGTTCCTTTTGGTGCACCGATGATCTCAACTGACGTAGTGATGTTGAAGTCGGCTTGGACAGAGAGCTTGGAGCCTTGGACGGCAACAGATCGAACAAGGTATGGACCGTTGATGATGACGGCGTCGGGGTTCATTACGGAGGATCCATACTCTCCACTCTTCTTACTTGGCAGAGTAGGCACCCAATACTTGTACGCAGCATTGCGATCTAAACATGTCAGCAAAGCCATCAAAGACCCATGCAAAGACTTACCCAACAGGTAGATGTGAAGAGACCCAGCCTGCACAACACGACGCTTCGTGCTAGTTTTAAACTGAAACACCCCAGCGCCCTTCTTCTTCTCAATTTTCATACCATCACCCTCAACAACCTTCAACTTCTCTTGTCCCTTGACCGCGACCTCATGAACTTCATCCGCACCACCATAAAGCACAAGAACAGTCTTATCCCCAAAGACCTTCCACGTAAACACCTCAGCAGTACTATACAGCAATTCAAACTTGCCAACAGGATAGTCTACAACGTGGATCTTCGAATCTCGTCTATGCAGCGACAAAGACCCGCCAAGTTGAGGAATAGTCAAAGTTCCAGCGGAGGTCTTGACCTTGAGTTTATAAGATGCTGAGTCGGTGGTTCGATAGTCTGCGTGTCGGACGACGTAGAATGCATCAAATTTCTTGGTGTTAAGCGCTGTAACGGCGATGTTTGTGTTGTCGGTGTACTTTGAGGTTGTGAAGTTGCTTGCTTCTGCGATGGCGTAGTTTGGTGAGACGCGGAGGAATTGGCCCTGGAGCTTTATCTCGGAGTATTTCTCGCGGGTTATTGTTAGGTCTTCTTTTATTGCCTACAGATATGCTGATAAGTTTCCCGTGCATTGTTTGTGGCGAGTTACTCACTGCTCCATAATCGTAAGAGGTATAGCCATCAGAGTGGCCAAGATTACCCCAGTTCGTGCCACCCCAAGTCTATACTGTTAGTCAAGGCCGCAGCCTACTTGATAAGTGGTTATGACGTACCATGTAGATATTGAAGATAGTGACACCAGCAGCAAGGTTGTTCCTGTAAAAGACACGAGCGAATTCGTGGTTGGTGAGTTCGTAACAATTGCTGAAGCCGTAGCCACCTGGTGGATCAAAGGCTCCGCCTTGGAACTACAAACTGTCAATCGCCATCTATCCGCGACGGTACACTTACTCACCTCAACGATTGAGTACGGTGTGTTAGGGCTGATCTTCTCATGCTCGGCATGCCACGTCGTCGGAAGACCATCCTTGGGCCAGTTGTACGGGTTTGACTATATTTGGTCAGCGCCGTCAGTATCGCCGAGGCGGGAAGACTCACGCAGTCAAATCCAACAGGATATCCATCGTGTCCCTGTCGATGTTAGCACATATTAATGTAAATCCCAGCGCAAACTTACATAAATGTCGACGGCGCCAGGCCCCGTTCCAGGAGCTCCGGTACCTCCTGGCCAAGCATCATTGTTGATAAGAGGCACAACAACCCCAGCCTTGCGAACCTGGTCATTGACGTATTTCAAGTAATCATGGTTGGGGAAGGGCGTTCCCTGCGCAGCACTGTACTCATTCTCCGGTTGGTACAGAATAACCGGCCCACCATTGGTGATTTGAGCTTTTGCGATGATCTTGGCGACGTGGGCTACATAACTGGACAAGGTAAGTACTAAACGGCCATTGGATTTCTGACCACTCACTTGTCTGTCGCCTCCAAATAGTCCGTGGCATTCGTCCTCAAAAGCCCCTTCACCCTCTGCAACCATCCCGGGAATCCACCCCCGGAAACCTCAGCATTGATATACGGCCCCGGTCTCGCAAGGAGATAAATCCCCGCCTCATGCGCCGCATCAATAAACGGCTGCAAATCCAACGCACCTTCAGATCTAAACTCTCCAGGTTTACCTTCAAGAAGTGCCCAGTCAACATAGAACGAAACCATGTTGAACCCCATCGCTTTGACCTTTTGGAAGAGATCTGGGTACAGAGATGCGACGGGAAGACGGAACGGGTGGATTTCCGCGGAGAAGATTGTTACGCGTTCGCCATGGATGAAGAGGGAGTGTTCGTCGAATGTTACTATGTCTTGGAGAAGGGCTCGGGAGTCGAGAATGTTGGATGGACGGGTGCCGCGAGGGAGAACATTTTGGGCATGAGTGCTAGCCGCAAGAGCTGCGAGAAAGAAGTTTGACAACTTCATACTTGCTGCATACCCTTTCAATGCTTCACGATAATCTCTGTAGAGCCCAACATCTTATATATGAAACAGACTGCAGATCTGCCCATAACGGATGCCCTCCCGAATATGCCGAAATGCATCAACACCTGCACTCCGTATTGGTGGAGAACTATTAGTTCCGCGTGAAATGCCGTCATGATCCTCGAGATGCCAGGGTCTTTCCACGAGAGTTTGTAATTTATCCATAGTGATGGCGAGTTGCATAATTGAGGGGTTTGCAGGTTAATTGAGTGCTGTGATTGGAGCTCTTACAGTTATATGCGGGAGCCTTGGCATGTGCCATTTACCCCATGAATTACTACGTATGATACAGGGTCATTAATGAGGGGTATCATGATGCCATTGGGATGATCATCGGATGGTTCCTTTGCTTCCGTGGATTAAGTAGTTAGCGCTGGGTGGATGATCAAGGGTTGCAAAATGCTGCACATCGGGGAAGCCGGTCCGCAAAATCAGTTAGACTCATATGAGCTATAATCGAAAACGGCATTGATTGTCTTTCTACCTTTTCATTCCCACTCAGCTATCATTTAATCAAGCACCAAAAGCACTCATCAACTTTTCATGCTCCTTCTTAGTAATAGGAATGACCGTTCCATGTCTCGGGCTCGTAGGAAGCTTATAGCTCGCCGAAACCTTCCAACTCGGCTTATCCAAATCGCTAGTCTCAAGAGGAACATAGCCCTTGCCACCGTACTCATCCACAAAAAGGTAAAACTTCTCGCCATTAGCATCACCGGCGTTACCTTTGAAGGCAGTAGGGCCCTCAACAGCTTGAAGACCAGCATTCTTGCCAATGCATGTAGCTTGAAGGGTCCATCCGTCGACGGGGGCAAGCAGGTTGGAAGACTTCTCTTGGATGATGTCTGTGCAGCCACTCGCCGATGCTTCGTCCTTAGTAAAGCGGTAGAATGAATTACCAGACTTGAGGACAGTGGTGTCGATGCGAGAGGTCTTGCTGTCCTGCCAGATCTCGGCCTTGGAGAAGGTGACGAAGTCGCGGGTCAGAGAATAGAGCATGCGATGATAAGAGTTGTCTGAGTGATCAGCTGTGTTGTACAGCGAAGATGCCCAGAAGACAACGTATGAGTTCTTCTCATCGTCCCAGAACGCCTCAGGCGCCCAGGTATTCCCAGCGTTGTCGGGAGAAACCTTGACGTGTCGCTGCGCAGACCACGTTACAAGATCATCAGACTCCCAGATCTCAAGGTACAAGCTCCCCTTGCGGACTGAATCGCCCCAAGATGTTCCACTGCCAATCGACAAATCCGTCGCGACCATGAAAAACTTATCCCCCTCAACAGATCGAATAACGAAAGGATCTCTCAGCCCCTTGGTACCCAGATTTGACGTAATAACCGGCTTTCCGCCATTAAGCTCCTGCCAATCCAACGCATTGTTCCCTTTACTAGCAGCAAAGTAGATCTTCTCCCCCTCCTTTGTATTACCCGTAAAGTACGCAAACGCATACGCCTCGTAGGGATCTTGCTGAACGGCGTGACGAACAGAAGCGTTGAACTCGCGCTCGTGCAGCTGGCCGTCTACTTCGAGGGACGCGACGAGAAGAACGTCGGAGGTGGTGGGTTGACGCTTTACGAGACCATCGTGGCTGATGATGGAGGGATCGCTGCTGCGCCAGGTGATGGGGTGGCCGTTTGAGGTGGAGGGGAGGGTGATGTGGCTGCGGATGTCTTCGAGGTTGCGGACGTTGAGGGAGGAGAGGGCTTCGTGGGAATGGATGCCTGTGGCGAGGGAGAGGAGGGCTAGGGAGAGGGACTGAAGACGGGGTAACATGGTGAAGAATTTCAATGGCGTTGGCGTAGAGATGAGAGAGCTGTTGGTGATGTCTACTGAGATCAATGGTCGCGATACTCGCGTCCTTTATATACACTGCATATCTTTCCAAATTGAACAACCTTGGCTCCCTCACGATCTCCACCCAATTTCCTCAATTGCCTCAATTAGTCCACGCACCTCTCATCAATCATTCCCATTCTGTCGCTTGGCAAGTCATTTACTTTTTTTTTCGACGTCATTCGGTAGTTATTACCCCGGATCGTCCATTTCCATCCCTTCTGGGGTGGCAAGCCGACCCCTGCAGATGTTTCGTTACACGCACCGGCCCAAACTATGAATTTAGGTTCTGTACTCCGCCCTTTTCCCCCAAACGCGCTGTGCTTTTATTTGCGCGCAAAAGTTGTGGTGGATAAAAGACTATTTGGAAGCATCATGTGCGCTGGTGATCATTACTGGATAAGTAAGGTGGTTGATTCTTTTTTGGCGGGTTGGTTGGGGACCTCGGGAGTTGAGAGGTTTACCCCAGATGCGCCATGTGTAATGCTGGGGATGGGCTAGGGTTTTGTGTACGTATGCATAGCGATATGCATAATTGATGGGTGTGATGGCGCCTGAGGATTTTGCACTTGTGTAGAATGTTGACTCGAGTAGCGTTACACTCAACTGGCGCGCATATTCTATCCTGCTTAAGTGAAAGACAGCTATGCGAGCGAAAAAGGACCTACCACGCTTCAAAAACTCGTGACACTTGATTTAATATTCCAAAGCAATTCTTTTGACGGTGGACTTTAGCTTCAACATGACGGCCTACTGGACAACGCTAGAGGTAATTGTAGGGTAAGTCAGATTAACAACGAAGGGCTCGACTTATCTCCATGAGATAGCCCTGTTGCTTTAAGACAATCTCTCTGCTTCACAAGATACACCGGACCTTCAGAGAGACACCAAAAGGTGTCTTACCAATACTCAGTTCCTTTATCATTGACGTAATCGACAAGCTCTGTCGATCGGAACAGTTTTAATTTCCGTGCCACCAACAAGGCCAAGCAGTTTAGCCGTTTGGCCACGATCCGATGTGAATGTCCAGTTTCTATTTCATTCCTCTCCTAAGAATCAAATTACTTCCCTCGTATAAGTAGCGGATGAGCCTCCGTATTAAGCACATACTTCATCTTCCCATCACTCCTAACCTGCAGCTCCGAGTCCTCCGCAAACATCAAATACAAATACTTCAACGTCTCCGCCAGCCAAAAACTCTCCATCTTGTCAACAAACTTCCTCGTTTTATCATCCTTCGTCTTCATAACACTCTTCAAGCCTGTATATCCCCCTTCAACCTTACACATTCGATTCAATGCCTCAAATGCCTCCCATGCCCAGTCTTGGTACTTGCGATCTCCAGTGGCGCGGTAGGCGTAGTACAGACTTTCGATGGTTTCGGGCCGGAGGATATACTCGGCGTTGGTATGATAGTATCCGCTCTTCTCGTAGAAGGATTGCCATTTTGGAGCGGGGAGACGTTTGGCTGATGCTTTTGCCAGAGGCTGACGGCCGTCGTCGACCCAGCGGAAGAGTTCGGGACCGATACCGCTTGGGCTTTGACGATAAACTTCATAGTATGATTCTGAGAGTTTTACGCCAAAGTCAACGAAGGTTTGGTTCTGTAGAAGAAGCCCACCCAAAATCAGCGAGCCGCCGCAAACACTTGCCACTGTTGAGGTTAGCATATCTTTACAATCAACTTAGTGATGTAAGTGACTTACAGTGACTAGAGATTGGGATCATGGTATCTCCGCGCATCTCTCCCAGGAACGTTAGATCAGGCCTCGTCGATGGTGAAGAAGCCAGATACAGCATCGACGACTCAGCCGCCTTGATCCAGCTCTCCCCATACTCCGCAAAAGCAACCGGGTCGTATGCATACATCTTGATCAGATACTCATAGTAGCTATCCGAGCCACCGCCCCAACCGGCTTGGTAATCTCCAAAATAACCATCCTTGAGTTTGACGTAGGTCCCAATCAGACCTGGAAGTGTGAAAGACTGCTTCGTCTTGGGATGGATCAAATGATCCTGGGCTCTCTGCGCAAGCTTCGCGTAGGTCTGGTTACCAGTCAAATCACTTAATCGAGTCCATTCGAGAACCAGTGTGCCGAAGCAAGTGATGGAGTTGTCAATGTTGCCGAAGCGGCGGAGCTGAGGATTGAAAATAATCTCATCATCGGGAATGCCAGAAGGTGTATCGAAGGCGATGCTGAGTCTGTCTGCGAGAATAATAGCTGTTTTAAGCAAGTTGTTCTTTAGATAGATGTCCGTGGCGAGGTGCTTATATGATCCAGACAGCAGATCATAAGCTAGAGGCAAGGTCAGTGGAATAACTAAGTCGCCAGCTCTCTAGAAGCATACCAGATAAAAGACCTCCCAGATAGCGAATGGTCGTTTCAAAGAGAGATATAGGCTGATTAGGCACAATAGTCACAGTGAACTCTGTAAGCATGATCTGTCTGAGAATCTTATCCACGATCTCAGCGTCCTCCATGATAATGGCCGTACTCAGCCCATCAACGGCTGTCGCACCCCAACCATTTCTATCATAGTTCAGTAGTTTTCAAATACCAAGGATGGTTCGTGAACTTACCGATCATCCTCATAGGTCTCGCTGATAGGCAATAAAGTATCATGAGGCGCAGCAAATTGCTCATATTTATTCCACGAGAACCGAAATGCCTCGACAATTGCTGCGGCTCTTTGCGGGTCACCTTTGAGCTTAGCGGAGGCTTGATGTGAAGCTGCTTTTGGATGACCATTTCGCGAGGAACGTCCTGCGAAAAGAAGTGAAAACACGTGGTATGCGACGAATATGGCTCCCAGCCAAACGATTGCTTTCTGGACAGATCTCTGCATTTTGATCCACCGCCAGCCCAGAGCCAAGTATAAAAGGAGAAGAGAAGCAAAATGTAAGAAAAGAGGATAGCAAAGCGAAACGGAAATTGAATAACTCAATTGATCGCTAGACCTGTGTGGGCGTTGGCGGAAAAGCTGGAGATTTCCCCTGAATGAATCTTATCGGTTCTCGTTCTAATTTTCAGCTTAGGGGCTGATCCTTATCAAAGCCTCCGTCAGCGCCCTAAAATTGGTTAAGCGCCATGAGTAAGGCCTTTAGCGCTGAGCTGTCCCCTGGACATTTATTGGAACTATCGATTTTAGCTGACCACCTGCAGCAAATTACAGCTGGACCACCAGGCTCTTAAGATATTTCTGGCTAGAGTCGCGAAACTATTGTTTCGTCTGCAAGGTACCCTTCACCAAAATGTTTACTTTGCTGGCAGAAATATTGTCTTGGCAGGTAATGTTCCTCACGTCATGTGGGAGGCCGGAGCTAAAGCTCAGTCCGGTCCAATTCTTAAAATGTAGTCTCCTTTTCCAGAAGAATCTTCTTCCTTTCTCCAACGTTTGCCGTTCATTCACTCGTTTATACTACAACGCTACATTACTCTCGTTGATATCCAGGATGCGTTGGATCTCTATCGCCGCCATTCTCGGCGTTGCGCTGCTCCCTGCTAGCGCTCGTCCGCTGTGCCGTCCCGATCGATCGACTACGACTGGTCTGCCCTCCGCGACGGCGACTACCAGCCTTGAGACTTTGAGCACTGACTCTGCGACTGCTACTGAGACCTCGGCGATTGAGACTACGGTTACTACCTTCACTGAATCGGAGACTGCTACTGCGACTACTGGCTTCACCACTGTTACCTCTGCGGTCACCAGCGAAGCTGCGACTACGACTTCTGAAGCTCCTGAAGCCACGAACTACATCCAGAACGGTGGCTTTGAGGATAGCCCCAACACCGACTGGAGTGTTCGAACCAGCGATATCAAGGGCGACTCTAGACGAGCTCGCTCCGGCAACAAATACGTGTAAGTCTTCCCGATAACCGCTTCCAGACCATCGCTAACAGCAAACAGCCAATACGATGTCGATGATTCCGTAGCCATGGGCGGCAATCAACTGAACCAAACCGTCAACGGTCTCGATACCGAGCGCCTCTACCGTCTCACTGCCTACGCCACTGTCTTCGATACTCCAGCGCCTGTCAAGGAACAAAGCACCATCTGCGTCATCGAAGCTCTGCAGGAGAGTTCGTCGATAGCTCAGTGGCGCCTCGATTTTACGAATCTGGGTACATATCAGTCCTATTCCGTGGACTTCACGCCTTCTGATGAGGACGTTACCGTTACGATGAGGCTTCGGTGCAGTGATGGAAAGAAAGTTACTTTGTCGGTTGGTTTGGACGATGTTTCGTTGTATGACATTGGTCCTAAGCTTGTTGGCTAAGCTACTGTTCGCTCTCATGAGTACGAAAAGACCCGAAGATCTCAATTATGGGAATTATCAAGGCAATCAAGTTCAACCCCGACATTGTGAAGGTAGGTTGTACAGGGGTCTTATCATGCTATCTATTCTTCTTCGGCATGGCCGAACCGATTTTACATGTAAACGGTCTTTAATCTCACATATTCCACCATCTTGGGTTGACCAGGAAATCTTATAAAGTTTGAAGCAGCTATGGGCCCTCGAGGCATGTGCATCGCTCGCAGTAGAGGTCGAAGATATTGTGAAGGAATGTCCATCATTCAGTTTGTTCTACGTACTTAGTATCTCCGCCTTCCAAGCCCATGAAATCCTGCTGATCTCCAAACGTCCCCATAGGCTACCTGCGCTCCCGTAAATCTCTTCTTACAGCTTCTGACCAGCAGTGCCAGGAATAGTAGAAGCAACCTTTCCAGATCCCAAAAGTGTAACCTTGTAAGGAAGCGAAGCAGAAGTAAGAGTACCCTTAGGAGCAGAGTTGACTGAACCACCAAGATCGACATCCTCAACAACAGCATAACCAGTCTCCTTGGAATCGGCAAAGAAGATAGCACGCTCAACGGAGTTGGCGAAAGAGGAGCTCTGGACGAGAACTTGAGCGCCCATGCGGGTGTTGACACCGGAGAGCAGAATGCCATCCCAATAGTTGTTGACGATGTGGACAGTAGCGAAGCGGATCAGGGGCGTGCGGCTGCTGACGTTCTTCCAGTAGTTGTTGGCGTAGGTGATGTGGAGCTTGCCCGTGTCCTCTGAGGCGTTGCTGTCGGAGTGGCCGATCAGAGAAGCCTTCCACTATGGTTAAGTGGTTAGTCACAGCATTAGTTCTGTTAGAGGGTATGGAACTCACGTGGTCGTGGAAGTAAGTGTTGGAGACGGTAATCCAGTCAGCACCGTGAGAGATGTCAAGAAGACCATCAAGGTCATCCTTTCCAAGACTCAAGTCACCAGAGAGATCGCAGTGATCGACCCAGACGTTGGTAGACTCATCGATACCAATAGCATCGCCGTTAGAAGCATCAACCTTGGCGATCTTGAGGTTTCGAAGAATAACGTTCTTCACGCGACGAACATAGAAGCCAACACCAGTGATGGCTGCCAGTCGTTAGTCTAGACCTCGACGAGTAAAAGGGAGCTGACTCACAGCTTCCAGCAGCACCAATGATAGTCTTGTCAGATGCAAGTCGAACCTTATCACTGCCTGTCAATTTGCCAGAGACAATGATGGTGAGAGGTTCAGTGCGCTTAGCAGCTTCGATGAGAGCAGCGACTGTGGTGACGGTGACTGTCGAGCCCTTGACACCGCCAGTGGTGCCGCCGTTCTGGGTGCAGTATCCAACGATGCAAGGCTCCGCAGCTTGGCGCTTGAGGAGGGCATCGCGGGTCTCAAGTGGAGAAGCGAGTGCCAAGGTGGCGAAGACAGTGGTGAGGGCTGAAGTGAACTTCATGATGCTTGTGATTGTAAGTCAGAGGTGATCACTTAAGAAAGCCAGAGCTTGATGGTTTCAATAATTTGGATACTATTACGGCGAAGTTTCACGGGTCTTTATAGGGGCCCCTCACTGTCATTAAAGTCCCAATACTACTATTCCTCATGGTAGCACGCAAGACACCAATCCCCAATTCAGCATTCGGACCCCGGAGTCTATGACTTCAATTTCCTTTTCTGGAGATGCCATCACGAGCCTCACGGCGTCTATTGGAGTAACAATGTACCTTCTGAGTATGAAACCTTGCATCATGAGAGTATGTGAAACATTCGAGTTCAGATGATGTTGCGTTCGGAAAAGATCGAATGTCATAAGTGGCTATCATTGGTGGAATTGGCTTGGAATAGATGCCGTGGTTGGTGGATGATCTGGAATTACCCCGGATTGTGACGATCTCTCGCCCACTGTCATTACCGCCGGTAGTGACTTGTCAATCTGGGGTAGCGACGAAAGGAAATTCTTGGCGGTCAAGAAATATCCCATTTGAACATTTCACGCATAAAGAATGCCGAGGTATGCTGAATAACTTACTCACGAACCCATTTCAGGTCTGAGTGTTTAAAACCGTTTGCCGAACACTTATAAGTAATGTTGAGAAAGTCTTCCCTAGCTCAACCTTAGAATGCAATCATGCATAGACTTCATCTTCGAAGCTCGATCATCAGACCAAAATCGTATATGCCCCAAAGTTTCGAACGCAGACTGCAGACTGTGGGGGCGCAAGGTCCCATCGGTGATCAAATCATGCCAGGGCTTTTTCCATCTGCACGGAAAAGGCAATTGAGAGACAAGTCCCCCAATAGTCAAGATGTTCCTCGAATCATGCCAAAGAGCAGTGAGGGACACTTCCCTGTGTACTGCTACATTAATTTACTGGCCCTTTGCGTATTTGGGGGTTGTTTTGCCTTTACATTCAAAAGGCAACCAATCCATCGCGGTCAGGAAAGAACTGTGCCGCTGCAACAATCACCCGAATTACCGAGAACGCAGTCTAGAGTCTGATAGCTACTGTAGCTGCCGGGAGATGACTCTCGATGCCATGGGAATTGATATGGAGCTGAAACCCAAAAGATCCATCAGACCCAAACCGATCAACTACTTAATCTCGTGGCAGATGCCAAGACAACCAGCTTCAAGATTTCCGACTCAGTAAAATTTCAGTTAATCATGCAAAATGAATATCCTAATGGTGAAATAATAGTTAGAGTATTGATAATTACTTAAGGAAGACTCACCTATGTGTAGGATTAAGGTTCTTATACCATATTCCTGCCTTGTCTACTATAACTCCAGAGTCCCTTCATACAGGCTCATCCTTCGGTTTGCCACTTGAGCCTCGTACCTAGAAACTAATCATAGGACATAGCTAGGTATTGAGATACTGGGGATCAGAGAAAGACTAGCCAAGTCCGTGACAGTGTCGTACATATATCAGACCAATACTAAGCTATCAAGGGGAAAGAAATCCAGACCAATCGGTTGAGAGCCTCTCCTGTCAATCTGTAGATCTACTCGTCGCGGAGGACCATGTGGAATGAGCTAATACCGAGGGTATCAGCCGAGGGAAGCCTAGCGAAGAAAAGACCGGATGGAGATGATGACCCATTGATGGCGGTCCTTAGGAAGCTGCCAATATTTGCATATATTAAGTTAAATACAATAACAAGGATCTATGCTTCAAGTTGGTGAAGCTACTATCTTGCGATGCCAAAGGAGGCCTCGCCTGAGTGCAATTAAGGAAGACAGCGGAAGCGTCTCACCCACAGCAGATGATCCTAAATTGTTTGATCGAATCGGCTCTTGTTCATTGTTCTCCAGACAGTGTGATAATTTGAATTAGCAGTATACAGTGAATTCGGAGGACATCCTTCCAAGTTTGGGGGTCAGCCCTAGTCCCGCATATGCAAGCCTTCTAAAGTGTTCGAGGGCCACGAGATCCCCCAAAAATGCTTAATCAGATCAGCCCAGACTGTGTAGCGCATATACCAGCCTAACATGAACTAAGAAGCGGGAGCGAAAATTATGGTTAATTATGCCCTACCTTGTTAGTAAGGCCCGTAATTGGCGGAATAGCTGATACCGGACGGAGGAATTCAAAACCACGAATCGCCTTCTTCCAGAGGGTTGATTAAGCTTACCCCGCGTCTTCCCTTCTCCCACAGATGGACCATGAATCTACCATACAAATGAAGCCTTCCAAGAAGCGTAAATAAACAACCCCGGATTTAACAGCATCTGCAAGAGATGCCAAGAAGAAGATCCCATGTTTGCTGCACGATGATTCATGGAAACATGTCCTTGGTGTCGAAAGACATGACATGTTAGTTTAGAGTCTTGGCACGCATTGAACCGAGCGAAGGACTAGGTTAATGTCTTCGGTTCCATGCAAAGCGGTGAAATGCTATTACAGGCACTAAAGCTGTTGGGTTCATGATGAAGAGCTTGATATATTATAGCATGGAATTCTTATTATCCATGTCAGCCAAAAACATATATAAGCAGCAACTTCATCCCAATATCTACCTACCTAGTCTCTTCGATACTTCTTGACTTTGTACTCTTGCCTTTGACCTTTACCAGGACTATCGTCGCATCTCGAATCCATCATGAAAGCCTCACTACTCCTGTCACTCCTCCCTGTCACCCACGCCGCTGTCATTGACACCCGTCAATCCAAGACAGGCGATGGCAAGCAAGGTGATACGGACGCCACCCAGGGAGATCTCAGCCAAAGGCCACCACCGCGCTTCCCCTTCCCTATCACCAAGTTCCCTGTTGCAAAGGAGACAGTTGTCCTCAAGAATGCCAAGTACATTATGCCTGGTGAGGTCTTTGATGGCAAGATGAAGCGCTACGAACGACCCGAGGGAAGCTGTAACGAACAAGCTGAAGGCACTGATGCTGATGCTGTCTTTAACCTGTTGCCTGGCTCTACCATCCGAAATGTTATCATCGGAAAGAACCAAGCTGAAGGTATTCATGCTTTGGGTGATGCCTGGGTTGAGAATGGTGAGCAGCCTCATTTTTACTTGACCGGCTTATACTGACTCGAGTAGTCTGGTGGGAGGACGTTTGCGAAGATGCTCTTACCTCAAAGGGCCTAAACACCCAGTTGAGGGTCATTGGCGGTGGAGCCCGCAGCGCAACAGATAAGGTATGCAAGAGCTTTAACGAGAAGGATCATTTCTAATCACTCGCAGATCTTTCAAGATAACTCGCTGGGTGGCAAGTATAACATCACCGGCTTCTACGCCGAGGGATTCGGAACATTCTACCAGTCTTGCGGAAACTGCCTCAACCAAGCCAAGCGCAACGCCACGATTCAGAACGTCATTGCCGTTGACGGTCTTAGAATGGGAATCGTAAGAAATCCCTCCATCACCAACCTTAGACTTTTCTAACAGTTCTAGATCAACCCCAACTTTGGCGACGAATTCCGTCTCAAGAACGCCCAGATCGACAATGTCACCAGTATCGTGGACAAGGAAATCGGCAACAATGTGCAGACAGTCCCATACTATATCGGAAACGGGCCTGATGAGAAGTATGCTTTGTATAATGAGACGAGGGATAACATTACAAAGTTCAAGGGCAAGATTACGAATGTGTATGAGCCTGAGGATCCTTATGAGTGGCTTGAGGAGTTCTGGCCTGAGGGTTTTAACTAAGCAATGCGAGAGTATATGAGGGATGCTAATTAATAAGCAGAGTTGAAATTATATTAGTAGAAATTAGTACTAATTAATCACGACATGTTTTCTTAAAGTAGTTTCACCACGTTGCTTACCACTATGGGAGGCCTGCATGTGCGGCTGATGCCTCGGTGCTGTTAGTGGTCACAACCGTCAGAAAATCCCTCATGACTAACCAACTGTTGTGTCTCTTTCAACCTGTTGCCACTGAGAGAGACTCGTGGCGCAACTTGGCACAGCCTGATTCTAATTATAGATCCAAGAGACGAAGCTGCGTAATTCGCAATATCAGGCTGGCGCTTAATACTCTTGACTAATCCTTCGTAGAAATAAGGACGGTCGAGTCTTTTTCTCCTCTTTACAACTTCACGTTCTCATACAAAGTTAAGCAGGCATAGGATATCGCTCTATCACCATTATGCCTTCGCGTCTGTGTATCTACTGCAATGACCTTGAGGTCAGACAAACCTTCGAGTCTCAGCATCACCGCGACCTTGCATCGCTCCAAGACTGCGCTGAAAGCATTTTCCAACCTTGCCCACTCTGTAAACTACTATGGGCCAATATCAAAGATCTTTGTCCGGCAAACCGCCTGCAGCATTTTCTGAAAAGTTGGAAATCCGATCCCAAGTTGCGTGGGGCCAAGTTGATGCTTGTATCAAAGCAGCAAAGGCATCCACCAAGTAACCACCCAGCATCGAGTAGGGTTATCTGGTTCAACGAAGCGTTTGTAAACGTGGTCATCAGAGGTCCTAATGTGGATGAAGACCTTGCAATGAGCTTCATTGCGCACTTGAATGTTTCGACGACATCAGGTCAGTTATAATGTAGCCAGTTTACTTTTGTGCAGTTTTAATCTAAAGTAGAATCGCTCGCCGCAAAGGAAATACGCGGAAGGACTCTCGAAAAGTCTTCAGAATCCCGAAAACGTGCCGAGACGGTAAACTTGACCAAAGCATGGATCAATAGGTGCAACAACTCTGACCATCGATGCTGTGGCAATGAGCGAAGGGACCTACCTTCGAGGGTGGTTGATATTGGAGAGAAAAAGCCAAAGCTTATTGAAACCCAGGGAAAGCGAGGTATTTATGTTGCACTGTCATATTCTTGGGGCGATGCAGGATCGCGAATGTTCAAGTTTAAGACAGATACTGAGGCCGCTTTCAAAAAGGGCGTTGCGTTATCTAAACTCGCCAAAACTCATCGCCAGGCTATCCAGGTCGCGCTCGAGCTTGGATATCGATATATCTGGATCGATGCGCTTTGTATCAGGCAAGACGACAACAAAGACTGGGCTGATCAGGCCTTGCTCGTACCAGAGATATACAACAACGCGGATCTCACTATCGTGGCGGGAGCAAGCCGTGATGCACGGGATGGATTTCTCGACATCGGATCCTCGCCTTTTGACGCAGCATGCCAAGTTCCATACCAATGCGCAAATGGAGACGGAAAAGCTAAATGCTGGCTTAATCTTCCACGGGATCGCAGCATCGGTCCTACAACCGCACGCGCATGGTGCTACCAAGAGTCACTGATGGCTAGACGAATGATCATCTACGGAGAACAACAACTTATCTTTCGTTGTCGTGAGCGTGAGGAATTCGAGGATGGCTCTTGTAACTTTGTTGGAGAAGCAGATGTCTGGTATAACGAACTATTCCCAGCTCTTAATGCTTCCAACCTGCCCCCGGTTCAAGAAGATCATAAGCCACGAAACCGTATTCAGCTAGACTCTTGTCCAGCGACTTATACTAGCCCTTCATTTGGTCAGGGACCGCGAGGGTTGGGACTTGCTGACACAACAGACCCAGTCCTTAAACGGTGGTATTCTGTCACAATGGAATACTCTACAAAGAGCTTTTATGATACCTCAGACAATCATGCTGCTCTCTCTGGTGTCGTTCGCCTGTTCAAACAAGCTCTTGTTAGCAGATTTGGCCGTGGGTCAGATAGGTACATGGCTGGACTATGGGAGAGTGATATGATATGCGGGTTACTCTGGAGAAGTCGTCGTATCGTCGAAGCCCACTTACCAGCACTCAAGGTTCCTGTGCATGACAGTAAAGTCATCAGAAAGGCCCCTTCTTGGTCATGGATGGCACTCGTCGGACCTATCAGCCAAGGAGCTGGCGCAAAAACAGATGAACTTGCCGGATTCGCAAGGTACGGAACACCATGTTGCAGACCAGGCAATCTGAAGCGAAACAGTTGGTGTCAGGACCCTGACGGATGGGAGTACAATATCGTCGAGCTCAAATACTTCCCAGATCCATATGAACTACAGGTCTACGGCTACATGCGCGAACTGCGGATTTCGCAATACAAAACCCAAGATCATCCCGACCATAGCGTGCGTTGCAAGCTTTATCCCCGAGATGCCTTGAACAAGCATACGTTTCGTTTGGAAGCCAGCGAGAGGCGGCCCTTAGTCATAGGTCGTGGAGATCCCGATTCGAACTGGTCGCTTATAGCAGCGACTGGGCTTTTCGACCAGCAGACCTCGAGCAATCCTCGGGAAATGTGGGCGCTTCGACTTACCTCTGAGGAGGGATTGCTTCTCAGGAAGCTTTATCCGGGTAAGATAATCTTTGAGAGGCTGGGGATTTTCTTCATTGAGAATCCGAAGGCCTTCTATCCGGACGATTTGAATCTGGTTACGGATCGGGGCCGATATCGTATACCAGAGGACAAGCTGCCAGTTAGCAGGGTGATAATTCACTAGCCTGTCACACCCAGTTCGGGCCAGCAGAGGAACATACACTAGGGCTTTTCTTTCCTTCTTTTTCTTCAAGCTTTGCCGTCGATTACCGACGGTAGAGTAAGTAGTAGATGCTCTGTCTTTGTGCCTGACGCAGGAGACCATGCGCGCTCCAGAAGTTGTCAACTCTTGGATGATAGTGTGGATAGTTAGTATGTTGCTTGATGTATATCTTCGATAGTATTATTCTGAGTTGATAGATCTGACAGCTGGGGTTTGCATTGCGCGCTTTACCTCGACTTTGTCAACGAGAACAATCCCTGATCGCTGCATGTGACCATTCACGTGTATTTCTGGCCGAAGGATCAATACCAATAACTAACAAAAGCCGGTAATGGCAGTAAGAAGAAATATGCGCCTTGCTCATGGATGGCTCGGACTTATTCCAGAAAAATGTACAGCCTCCAATACCCGCCAATCCTTTAGGCGCCCAGTAAGAGTGGCTGTGGCTATGCGCTGATGCGCAATGGCTAACTAATGGGACCACGCATGCATGTCAGATCGGCTCCAGCCTGACTAGAGTGTCTACGCCCAGCATAACTCCACGCTTACGACAGTTGCTTGGCTTCCCCACCGTTATTTAAGAAGCCTTACCCCTCCACTGATAAACATCCTCATTCCCCGCCCAATACTTAGCCAGCGGATATAATAATTCACTGGCTTTGGACCACTGACTAGAAACGCTTGAGAACACCGAGAACCTCATTTAAGGAAACTCCCCCCTCTCCGCAACCATGGCCGACCCTCTTTCCATTGTCGGTGGTGTCGCAGCAGGACTTCAGCTTGTTTCGGCGGCTGGAAAAGCTCTGCTAGCCACCATAAAACTATTACAAGACCTGCAGGAAGTCCCCGGTCAGCTGGCAGAGCTACTGCGAGAAGTGGATGACTCCATATCCAGGCTTTGTTACAGCTGCAGGGGGGGCTCGCAAGCCTTTGGGAATCTAGATCCTGCCCAGGAAAAACGTCTCGTTAGCATAGCAGATTCCCTGCACCCAGTATTGCAAGAAATCCACAGCATGATAACACCGTTGTTCTCCGATAGAAAGGGCAAGAGAAAGGCGATGAGCCAACTCTGGAACTCCATCATCTCGCTCAAGGTCGAGAAGGAACTTTCACAAAAGTTAGAGAGGCTAAATAGGCTCAACATTGAGATGGTTCGGGAACTAGGTGTTGTTGGACTTGAAGTCCAATTAGCCACCAACGAGCTCGTAACAGCTACCAATACCACTTCAGTACAGGGCTTCTCTAGCCTTGAGACGCAAATGGATTCTTTACGAAGAGACTTCAAGACTTTCACTATATCGATGCAAGAAGCCCATACAATCTCACTGGAAACATCATCTCTCAAGGACCGCGCCGTGAAGGCGGAGCAAGCAGAACGGATTGGGGAACGCGGCTGGGAAATTGTCAACAGATCATCAACAAGTCTTTCGGGGACAACGATAAGCTCACAGCAGGTGGAGGAAAAGAGGCTATCCGATGAAAGGGCCGAGCAGATGCGCCGTTACCTCGGAGCCTCCAATGCTGTAGGACCAAGTTTACTAAGTCGCAGTCATCGTCCAAGCTCCGACCTTGAGTCTGTTCTTTTCAGCATAAGGACATTCTACACAACAGGGAACTTTGATCCGTCGGCACCAGTACAAAAGGTACAATTCTGGCAAGACACCGACCTCGCAATCTACCTTATGAAAATCGCAAAGGGTGATGCGCGTGGTTCAAGTCAGAGTCAGACCCGAGGGTTTCGAGTCTTGAAAAATTCAACAGCCGGTTCTCCGGCAATATTTCACGAGGGTACCGCGACCATCATGATCGAGTTGCTCAGCACCCTCTCTCCTGTCAATACTACGACATGCCCTTTTGTACGAGATGCTGTTCTTACATATATCAACGAGCTTGCGCGCACTCAATTACATCCTCAACACCCCATCTCTTTGGTCATAGCCACGCTCAGGAAAGACAAAGGCGACAAAAACGTCTCTTTGCGTGCACTGACATCAGTGGTCGATCGCTTACGGGCGACACTTGGTCCTGCGCACGAACTCACCCAACTCGCCACATCAAGGCTCTGCGCCCTTCTTCGCCGGAGTGGGGAGTACGATGAATCTCTACGGGTAGCCAACGAAGGAGTCCGTGCCCTTCGTAATCTTTTAGGTCCCAACTCGCTACAGGAACGCAAGCTGTCAAGGCATATTGAGCATGTATACATCGACCAAGAGGATTGGCCAGCCGCTCTGAGCGTTTGTCTTGATATAGTCGGGCAGCAGCACCTTGAAACTCCAGACCCAGACCCGATGTTCCATGACGACTGCGCGGTGTATACCATGGAGGATATTGCAAAGATATGCGAGTGCGCTGGGAACCTAGCTCTAGCGGTGGCATGGCTTGCTCAGGCCAAGGTTGCGAGTGTAATGGCCTGGGGAGAGGTTGATGAGACAGGTTATATACAGGATAAGTTGGACGAGCTGGTAATGCAGATGGGTCTGATAAAGGATAATAAGATTTAAAATTAAAATTAATACTAATAGCTTTTAGTATAAGATTATATATATAAGTATACTAGCTATTAATATAAAGTTATTAGTACCTTTTAATTACTTTAATAATTATATTTTTTTTAAGTCTATAAGTT